CCCCCCCCCCCACAGCAACTTACAAGGAAATCCTTCCAGCTAGGTTTCAAAATGTGCCCATGGAGCTTTCCAATACGACTGCGCTTTCTGTGAGGCTGGCCGAGTAGAAAGGAGGCTGGCGTGCTTCCTTGCACACACGATTAAGAAACAGTCTCTCCAAAAAACTTTAGTTTCACTGCCGCGAAACAAACTCCTGTATCTATAGTTTCGGGGTTTCGAAACACAGATTTTACGCAGTCGAAAGTCTGTCGCAGACATTACCTTAGCTTCTGCCCATAAAACTAAAGTTTTAAACCTTTGTTTTTTGCCCCCGAAACTAACGAAGTTTCCGTTCCAGAGTTAGTTTGTTTCCCCCCCCCCCGCCCCCCCGGGGGCCGGGGAGGCGAGGTTTGAAACCCTCGTTTTTGTTCGCAAAACAAACAATCTTCTTTGCACGGTGTTTGTTTGGGTTGAAACAACGTTTGTTTAAAACTTTGGCTCGCGATGTATCTCCAGAAGATCTACTGTTCAAATCTCCGGGGAAGGGACTGCAACAGAACTGTTACATACTGGCACAACAGCATTACACTCTGTAGGATTTGAAACTGTAAGTGGTGTCACTGTATTCTGTCTTCCGAGTAATGTGCGAGGTTGCCAGTATTCGTCAATTGGTGAATCAGCGCTTGCTGGCAGCCGGAAAGAAGGCTAAGCTCTATGGCCAGAGTGGAGACCTCGCCCCAGTTCTGACGGATTTAGATAAGCTGGTTGTTGGACCATTTATGGCTGGCGATGAACTTACCGCTGCAGATATCTCAGCGGCTCCAATGTTGCAGCGGCTTTTTGATGACTCACTGGTACCTACTGAATGCAGTAAGCTACATTCGTGGTGGCAGACAATAAATGAGCGGCCAACCTTTCAGAAAACCTGTGTCCGTTCGTATTGGTGGTGGTGGTGATGATAATCTTGAGAGATGTGCGCAAAGCGTGAAAATATGAGTGCGAGCGGTCCAAATTAGCTTACACTGAATCAGAACGATAAGGAGGCCTTGGCAGGACAACATGTTGTTTGGAAGTGACAGAAAACATTCCGGAATTCTGTTCCTTTCTGATTCATTTGAGGAAGCACAAGTCATGCAAAAGAGCGATCATGCAATCTCAAGGGCCATACGAGCTGCACAGCGAGAAGACATTGCAAAATGTTACGTAGATTCGCCACCTGGCTTGTGCCAGGTGCCGCGTGCACGTTTGTTGGGCAGCCCAATGATTTGGCAAGAATGGCGAGCACACAATTTCATTTTTGTGTCAAGGTATCTTGGTGACCAAATCACTTGTGCTTTGTTTGTAAAGGAGCTCATGCAAGGTGCCAGGTCGTCCACCAGCGTGCATGTGCCCAAATAGAACAGCAATCAGCTAGAAGCTTGAAGATTGCAAAAGAAAGACCCACTAGGAGCATTAAGGGAATGACACCTCATAAATTTGTCAAGTAATTCCTGGAAGCATTCAGAGTCATCAGAGTCATCAGAGTCACATGTCAATAAGGCATGTTGCCGCCTTTACTATTTGCTGGGCCTATTTGCGCTGGGTAAATACGAGCAATCAGATCGCTTCAACGATGCTAGATTTCTCAATGTTTGCAGCAGCTTGGATTTGATTGCATCAAGGAATGCTGCCGTAACTTACTTTTACAGAATATAGTGCTAGATAGTGAACAGTGCTTTGCCACCGATACACATCCAAGTGTCTTGGGCCGAGCTGCCCAAGCAGTATTTGCTGCAGGTGCTCTATATTCAGCTTTATTCGGTGGACGTGGTCACTGCATACATCCGAGAGGACAAAAACGGCGAAGCTCACCAAATGACTCACAAAATCCTCAATTGTATACTGTATATGGTACGTTCCACTCGGTGATTGGTGGTGTAAGCTCAAGCGGACAGGGTTCCTTGATTGGGCTTCAAGTTCCTTGGCAGTAGAAATAGATCAGGATAGTCTCACTGGATAGTTCTAGGCCTAAGCCATCCATCGCAACTTGAGGTTGGAGGTCCTGAGATGTCAGGACAAAGATACATCATTGACCTTAGGTTGGAGGCTATCGCTATTAGGTGGAGGCCATCGCTAAGAAAAAAGAAAAGAAAGGTGTCACATAGTTGCTTTTATATAGGTTGGAGGCCATTGCCAGTAAGTTGGAGGTCGTGAGATGTCAGGACAAACATACATCATTGACAGCAAGTTGGCCATTCTGGGATGGCTGCCCGATTTGGCTGGAAAAGACCATTAAGTGGTACTACACCATCGCTCAATTTCAGGCGGGTCAGAGAGAAGTATGCAACCATGAGAATTGGTACAGTATACATGTAGGATTCGACATCATCACATTCATTGATGCTGACATAGAAGGTCATTGTGTCTTTGTGTGTACCAAACTTTCAAGGCATGTTCACCAGAAGTGTCCAGCATAGGTGCACAGCCAGCTTGGTCCTTTGCACTATTCTCATGGGAGATTGAAAACATCCAGTCTGGAGAGTGAACCATACTTGGTAGACTTGATAGACTCTGGGAGAGTTGCTGGAGTCAGACTTCATTCAAGTAAGGCCCTGATTGACGTAACGTGCTCCACCATTGCAGCGAAGCTAGGCAAGCACCCTTTTGATCATGACTGGCAATGACCTGTTCGGCAAGTACATGGCGCCTTGGACCGAAGAAAAGATACGAGATTTGCATGTACAAGAGTATGCGTTGAACCAAGAAGCTACTAGTAACAAAGGACATCGCTACTAGAACAAGGACGCTACTAGTAGCTCCCGGCCTTACTACTAGGAACAAGAAGCTACTAGTAACAAGAAGCTACTTGTTCCTAACAATTCGTCCCCAAACCTCCTGACCATGTTTGACAATGTCGTGGACGGCTCTTGCGAAGAGATCAGAAAGCTGTAATGCTGAGAGGACTGATCTGCTCAGCAGCACCAAAAAGACAATTGAAGAAGGAAGCTAAGGCCCCTTTGACTGGGACGTTACCTCACCTTACCTGTTTCATTTTCTTTATTCATCATGTTATGTTGTTTTATAGCGAACATTCGATTGAAATTTTTGTGTGTATAGTGGGTTCAAGCAAACATTGGATGCAATCAATGTTCCCGATCTGAGGTGATTTTCCCCTTCCAGTTTGCTTCCTTTCTGATGACCTTGGTCAGAAAGGGCATCATCACCACCAAAGGATTTCACGCTGGTCGCTTGAAGCAGTTGCTGTGGATTTGGTGTCTTCTCTTCACCCGCTTCAATCGACATATGTCACGGATTGTAACAACTTGTTTGACCTCATTTTGCTTACCCTCATGTGCAAAAAAGACACTGGTGATACATTGAATGACTAACTAGTTCAAGAGCCTGGAATTGAAGATTATTTTTTGCTGCTCCGTCTTCGTTCAGTGCCATATGGTGCTGAAATATGCTGAAATACAAGTCTTGATAATACATGCATAATTATGTAAATCCCAGGATGAACCCTGAACCATGGCTAAGGGTATCTTTGGAGCTTGTGGATGGTGGTTTGGCTGATTCTAGATGCTGATTGGAGAACGACCATCGGATCTTGGGTGGCTTGCCAAACTGAGTGCACAAGACGAGTCTTCCGGGAAAGGTAGAGGGTAGACTTTGGGAAATGGGACCGCAATCCTACAATGATGAACATTACCACGATACACATGTGTATATATGTAAAATGGTGAGCGGAGGATCAACAGCAACTTGTAAAGGCAACTGTCACAACTCAACCAACGGGGATCAAAGAACTCCGTCACGATCAAAAGCAAGCGGTGCGCTCACTTTTCCATTGCGCAACCGTCGGGGGCTCGAATGAGCCAGACTCAAGGGCCCTATGATCCGAAAGGTCACAGGCGGCCGTCATCACATCATATCATGATATGCATGCTCCGATGCATACACAAATTTACACGCCCTCATGGCGGTAGGCTGGGACCGGTCGGTTTCAGCGACCTTTTCAGTCACGCAGCTCCCTGGTGAAGCCATACTTATCAGCAAGACCTTCAAAATCAGGCTTCTTCCATTTCACCTTTTCAAGGTACATGGCAAAGTCCACGGCCTTGGTAATCTTGGATGGCACTTTTCCACCAGTACCATACTTTGACAAAATGAACTGGAGGTACTGACGCATGTCTTCTCCTTTCTTCGAATTCGTGCGGGCCGTCATGATCATTTGATCATACGTGAGGCCTTCAGCCTTCACCTTGTCCATACGACAGATGGTCTGTCCCCATTTCTCTACGGTGTTGATTCCTTCAGGCAAGGGAATCAGGGGATCGGTCACATTGGCCACTGGGAACAAGTTCACCTTTCCAGCTTCATATCCCTTTGGGCTCAAGGCAAAGCGCTCCGGTGTCATGGTTGAACCGGTAGGCTCATTGGCATTCAAGAGCTCCCACGGATTCGAGGCCTGAGAGGTCTCATCGGCGTCCATGCGTCGCTTTGCAGCATCAGTCATGGCGGACATGGAAGCATCCACAATGACCTGGGCTCCCACAACATTTGGTCGGAGGTCTGGACGAATCTTCACCCAGTCGTTCACACGCTGGAGCAACTGTGCACTTTGTCCGAAACGGACAGCTCGATGCAGAAGGCCGGCACACATGCTAAGATCCTGATCCGTCAGTGGTGACCGGATGTGATATTCTTCATCATCGGTCTTTGCTGCTTTCGACATGATCCTGCGGGACTGAATGGGCGACACTTCACGGTCGTGCGCTCCTTGGAGCAAAAAGGCTGTGCAAAATTCGGTTTAACCGATGCGGCACAAGAAAAATGAGAAAAACAACCAGGACGACTCCTCAGCAACGAACTGGTTCGAGGTGGCTGGCAATGGATGGTTTCTCAACCTAACTAACAAATTCTTTTCAAGTTTCACCAAGCGAATGTTGGATTCACTTCACAACATGCGTGCATGGGCCCTAGTGCTCATCTAGTTGACGTTTCTCTGCTTCTGCAGCTCTAGCCTTGGCTTTTTCTTTCTTACCTGACTCTACTCCGGTGTGGATGGTGTATTTCCAAGTGTCAACGAGTTTATAGAAAGGTCCTGTGTCGGCTCGTAGTTTAGTCAACACGTCTGCACACATGAAAATGTTACTAGTCCAAAAGACCATGATGTTCTGCAAGGACATGCTTTCCTTAGCGATGGCATAGTCGATCTGAAGTCTCTTCTCTACGCTAATAGTAGGAGAGCTACACGATTTTGTGACTGCATCGAAGAAACCCTTGCTATCAACAACGAGGCATGCTGTCTTTTCTGGGACTTGTTCTCGGAAGGTTCGAGGCGATCGGCCTTCTAGGATCTCAGCAAGCAGGGATTGAATCCACTCAATCGCATCAAGTCCATTCTGACCGGACATGGTTTCTGCTGCTACTGAGGAACGAACTACTCGTCGTAACTTCTTAGAACTCCAATCTATTATCCATACAGGGGATTCCTTGTTCTTCATGATGTCTTTGGTCGTAAGACATAGGATGTATCCACCTTGACTTTCACCGTTAGCTCTAGTACACCAGCCAGCATCAGCAATACACACGATGTGCCAATCTTTTACTGGAACGTGGCTAGGGAATTTCAAACAGATTTTTCTAGTTTTCATTTCCCTCACGGCTTTGTTGTACAAGTGGACGTGTTCAACTTTCCCCTTATCCTGAACCCCTTGAAGATACGAAGCCAGGAATGCCTGTTCCGGACGTGTCGAGTTCGACACCCAGGCTAACTGACCGGCGCAAGTTCTAAGGATAGACGGATCTGTAAGGGACGTTGAAGCGTTTCCCAAAGTCTTCGTTTCAACATGTTCCAAATTCTCGATGTAATTTTCTTGTCCTACTTCAATTTCCATCGTATTTGGATTTTGTCGAATCTCTACTCCTGTATATCTTATTGTGAAAGTACGATAGTCACCGAACGGCAATTTCTTTCGGAGTCGGTCCAAGGCTTGGTCCATTTCCTTGCAACCTCCACCTAGTAGGTCATCTACGTGTACTCCACATATGCCTTTCAAAGTGTTATCGGACTTACTCCTCAACATAAACAAACATGGGTCCAACTGGCTCTGGGTTAGCCCTGCTTCCTTAAGTTCCCTGGTCAGGCGGGAAAACCAAGCACGTGGTGCCTCAGCCAGGCCGTAGGCAGCCTTCTCAAGACGAAACAGGTCATCTGTACTCAAGTTCATCCATTGTTTGATTTCTGCTGGAGGTCGAAAGTAAATGTTTCTGCAAGATTCATCACCTGACAAAAACGCTGTTTTTATGTCGGCTCCCCATAGCTTCCACTTGGATGCTGAACAAATGGACAAAACAAGGTGCTTTGTTTCCTTACGCAAAGTTGGACTGTCTGTTGCTACTTTTCCTAGTTCCGGGTCCTGCCATCCTACCAAAACTAGACGTGCTTTTGGAGTTTTGGAAGTGATATCAGGATCGGATGACTTTTTCCATACCAAGACCCATCTTGCTCTGATTATTCTTTCTGTAGGAATCCCTCTAGCCTTGCAAAGTGAAGTCACCTTATTGTCAATCCAGCTTTGCCATTCCTTTTGCATAGCTTGGAGAAACAGTTTCTTGTCGTGTGGATCGAGTTTGCGGAACTGGACTTCAACCCTTCTTTGCTTCGCCTTGGACTGGGGGGCAGCTTGCAAGCATTCTTCAAAAAGATTCCAGAGACACAGAGGATTCTCAGTGATGTCTTCGGGATGGACGTCAATGGAAAGTTCGAACACATGTTCTGCCTGCTGCAATCTGGCTGTTACCGCTAGTTCGTCTTCACCAGCTTCTGGAACGGGAACATCTATGCCAGATGATTCGATCTCGTTCGATCGTGAGTCTACTTCAGGCATTACTTCATCGGTGTTATCGGGTCTATCGGATTCGGGCGGATTAGCGTCTGTCTCTGGTTCCAGGTGTGCAGGTACAGCACCTGGGTCAGGCATGAGCTCATCAAGCTCGTTGTGCATTGGAAAGCCTGACTGAGATCCCTCTTCTTCAAGAGGAACTGGCGGTTCGGTGGGTGCATAACTTGGAGATGAATCAATTTCAACAACCCTCCTACGTTTATCGGCTGGCTCAAGTCTATCCTCGGGGATCTCTTCAAGAGCAACAGCGGCAAATGGCTGCTGATTCAACTCTTGTTCATGCATACTGCCGAGAGGTGGAATCTCGCCTCATGATCTCTTTTGCCAATATTCAGGGGAACGATGGAATCTGCGTCTTATCTTATGTGGTCTACCCTCCGAATCAGGTCTGTCATCGATGGTCTCAGGATGAGGTTCGGCTTCTACATCTTCCTTGAGTTCGAAGTCCTCTGGGCCAGGGATGTCCTTTGTGAGATCATGAAAACGAGCGACGCCCTCCGACAATGATTTACCTGCAGCTTCCGTTTCCGGTGCCAGCTGGCCTAATGCAAGTTCTCTTGCAAGCGCTCGAAACTCAGTTTCGTCTTCGGACATTGGACGGAGGCCTTCTGGTCGACATCTATACAATGAGGGCCGGTTGTGGTTATGGAAGATGTGGCAGTTATTAACTTACTTTTAACCTGCTTATAACCTGGTTTTAACTTCTGCATGTTCGTACTAAGCTGCCTATGTTCCCGTGGTCTGAGTAAGTTTTCGTAAACTATCTTGCGCGTGATAGGGCTCTTGTGCTAAATACCTAACTGCGAGTAAGATTTTGGTGGGTCCGTTAAAAGTAAAAACCGGGGAACTTAGCGGAACTTATCGGAACTTAGTAGAACTTACACACACACACCAATTAATTGACAAAAAGGTAGTCCTTTGGTGAAGATTGCCGCTGTTCGCGGCCTTGTGGGCCGCGACGTGTATATAGTTTTTAGGTTTCTCGTAGAGTGTTCACGCAGGCGCCATGATCAGAAAGTTTTGCGCAGCGCGAACACTCTCATGCTTCAGGGTTCAATAGAACAGGCCCTTTTGTTTGTTGCGTCCGAAGGTTCAAAGCTCGTTGTTCTGCATGTTCCAGACCATTTCAGCTCGAAGGGCGCTGAAAGCTTGGTCGATCCTTCGGATGCCGGGCCCGAAGACATTGTCTTGGTTGGAGAAGCACAGGGCTTGGCGAAAAAACAAGAAGACGCAGAAGCTCGAGGACGACCAGTCTATTTGGGCAGACCCTCCTGATGTTGTTCATTTGCCTGAGTGGCCGATCTTCGTTCGACCTGGCGAGAAGAATGCTTTGGCTGAGAAGGCGTTGAAGCTTGGCCACCCACCTGTGATAGTGATCCCATCAGGAGATCGGAATTCGCCAGGGTGATCGAAGGCCCACAAGTGTATTCTTCAGGCAGCACCTTCCACTTGCAGTTGCAAAAAAGTTTCAGTCTCGTCACTCCAGTTTTGTTGTTGCACGTGTGAAGTATTTGCAGCCGAAACATGAACAACCGTGCATGATGCCATTTCATTGCCCACAGACGCTCGGGGCTCCTGGCCTTATACTATGTATACTAGGAGCGATCGGACGCTATAGCCTTATATATACTACTATAGGAGCGATCGGACGCTACTAGGGGCTCCTGGCCTTACTATAGCGTGCAAATAGCGTGCAAATGACT